CCAAAGTGCATTGCTTAAAAGTTCCGGCTTTAAATTGGGTGCCAGTGGCTCAAACCTATAATCCTAGCTACTCAAGAGGCTAAGATCAGAGGATCATAGTTCAAAGCCAGCCTGGGCAGAAAAGTCTATGAGACTCTTATCTCCAGTAAACTACCCCCAAAAAAGCCAGAAGTGGTGCTGTGGCTCAAGTGCTTGAGCACTAGACTTAATTATAGAAAGGCTCAGGGACAGCATCCAGGCTCTGAGTTTAAGCCACAGAACCAGGAAGGAGAGGGGGAGGGGACTTATTGCTTTGGCCTGGTGGCTTGGCTTTTTTTTTAAGGGAACAGCTTTGGGATAAGGGTTTTTGAAATGTAAGGAAGCATTTTTGAAATGTAAGGTTTTGTCTTAAACTGGTTTGTTTTCAAGATGGAATTAAGACACACCCAGATTGTTCAAGAAATAGCAGAGGGTATAGGTATATTTTGAGATTACTTGTATACTATTAACCTTATTCAGTCACCTTAGGTAAATACATTTTACCTTATTCAAAACTCACCAATCATGAGCAGATTGTGGACCCAAGCTCAACAAGTCTGAGCAGAGGGGCAGGGCCTGCTGAATTAGGGATAAATAGCAGAGCAACTTGGCTGCTCTGTGTGCTTGCTTGCCAGATTTTTGTGTCTATCATTTTGACTCCAGTGGTTCTTGGAGAGCATATTTATAACATTGCCTAGCACTGAACTCATTCACAAGTCTCCACCCAGGGGAGTTCAATCCAGGTGACACAGGACACATAGAAGAACTCACAGCCCTGAGTGTTCTTACCCCTAACCCACAGATACATTCTAAGATGCCCAGTGGATGCCTGAAGCCTTAGAGAATACCAAACCCTACATGTAAGCACTGCAGTATCTTCATACTCAGTCTAATAACCACAGTGGCTACTCAGTAAGGTGTGGGTAGTGCAGACAGGATGTATGCTGGGCAAAAGAATGATTCACATTCTGGGTGGGGTAGAGAAGGATGATAGTACAAGATTCCATCATACTATTCATATGTAAAGTTTGTAAGTTGTTTATTTCTATGATTTTTTTTCCATGTAATATTTTTGGACCATGGTGGATCTCAGGTAACTGAAACCATGAGACAAAACCATTGAGAAGAGAGGACTACTATCCTTGTTCAACTTTTTAAAATAGCCAGGCTCCTCAGAAATATGTTTGGTAACAAGATGCTCACTGTCTTGAAGGCATTCCATTTCTATAAAAGGAAGCGGTTGGAGATGGCGGGCAAAAGCCAAGGCAGGCACAGCTGGCCCAGGTCTCCTGACAGTGGGGAGGTGCCACCCTCTGGAGGGAGAGGCCACTGCTACACAGAACTTTCTCATATATGCCAGGGTTCCAAACCAGGAGCTGGGGGATCCCAGGCCTGGAAATTCCCACTAGGCCCATTCTCCACCCTACCACCCCTACCCCCACCCCCCCATTCCTCATAAGGCTGATTATTCACAGCACCATTTCTTGGAAGGAAAGATTGGCTCATGATCAGAAGTTCTGGAACTCCCTACAGGAAGTGGCCATTAGAGCAAGGGAAAAGGATTATGGTGAAAGAGCCAAGAATTCTGGATTTGGATTCTTGCTCCAGCAATTACAGGCAAGGGTTGGATGAATGTGGGTTCAACTCTAGCCATGCTATGCAGGCACACCCTGGCTTCCTTTTGTTAAGAAGGGCTTGTGCTTGTAATATCTACCTAACAGGTTTCCGTGAGGATTCAGAGGAAGTCACTGGGCCCGGGCCTGTGCCCATGCCCATTGTTAGCTATATACAAAAGTGGTCATGGACTGTTTGGTAAATAGCTCCTATTCGGAGCCCCTGATTGCCTCTCCACCCAGCCCAGCATGACTCACAACCAAAGGCTTAATCTCTAGCCCAACTGGGGATCTCCTTCTAATTGGCTGATGTTCATGTTAAACTAAATAGGTGTGAGTAAATGGTCTGCACGTGTAGCATCCACAACTCCAGTTCAGATCCTCCCCCTTGAACACAGCTACCCTACCCTGCCTCTGGGACCACCATTTAGATGTCTCTGGCCAAGACTATCACCTCTCCCAAACTGAAACCAAGACTTTCCTTAAATTTATCCCAGGAATTAGCCCTACTTCTGCCCAGCCACTCTATGTAGGAGCCTGAGAGACTCATTGACACTTAGCATACTCAGTCTCTCCCTTTTTCCTCTGCCTGTGTCCTCCAGGTTTCCCAGACCTGTCCCACCTTCCTGCTCCAACCCCATCCTGCCATATCCCTAAACCACAGCAACTACCTCCTCCCTGGCCTCTGGGCTCCTGTGTGTCCTTCCATTTCATTCCCATGCTATGGACAGGGTTGCCTTTCTAAAGTAGAGGTCCTTCCTTATTGACCCTTCAATTAAAGGTCACGCATCATTTATCTTTCTGGCTGATGAGTCTGCAAGTCAACTTCCACTCTCATCAGTCATAAAGTTTCCTAGGGAGTTCTCTCCAGTCAACACCTGGGGAGAGTGATCGAAGCAGGACTGGGCAGAAGGACAAACTGGGCTAGGGGCAGACCCCCACCAAGACCTTAGCCACACCTCATGGAGATCTGGAGCTAAAGCAATTCTTCACAGGTGTCCCAAATCAGAGGAAAGGGTATAGGCCTTCATATGAACAAGTCATTCAGCAGGTTGGTCTTGGGAAGGGATGGGACACTAGGTGAGAAGGTAGAGAGAGTGGTTTCACCCACAGACCACTCTACCATTAACACAGCAGCTGAGAGGAGGGAATGGTCCAGTCTGGGGAAAGGGGTGGGTCCAGGCATCTGGGTAGCACCTACAGTGACTACTACCAAGGTGCTTTGGAATGATTATTGCATGATGTAAAGAATAAGCCAGACGCTGGTGGTTCACACTTCTAATCCTAATTACCCAGGAGGCTGAGATCTAAGGATTGAAGTTCAAAGCCTGACAAGGCAGGTAAAATCTGAGACTATTATCTCCAATTAACCATCAAAAATCCAAGCATAGAGGTATGGCTCAATTGGTAGAACACCAGCCTTGAATCAAAACCTAAAGGACAGCATTTAAGCCCTGAATTCAAGCCTCAGTACTGGCACAAAGGAGAAAAAAAGAGATTAACTCACATATCACATCAAGCAAATCATGTTTGATTTAGCACCTGAGGTTCTCAGTGACCTGCCCCAAACATTCTCACCATTCTTCTTTCACCTCTCCTGACCTCCACCTACTCCTAACTTTCTTACCACATTGAGCCTCTTGCAGTTTTCCCAAGCTTGACATGCTATTTCACACTGCTCTGCTTTTGTGCATGTTATTTCATCTGCCTGGAACACCTTTAAATGGAAAAAAGAAATCCTATTCTCTTCTTCCAACCACTTCCTACTCCTCCAACAAGACTCCAGCAAAGTGCTGCCTCCTTTGGGAAGCCTATTAATTCCTCCAAAGATGGTGGCTCCCACTGGCCCAGGGCACAGCTGGGGAGGGGAGGGGGTGCTGTGCCATGGTGGGGGAAGGGGACAGGGCAGGTGTCTAGTTTCTTCCCAGCTCAAAACACAAGGCCTAGCTGCTCCATTACTCAGTACACAAGATGAGCTTGGGCTGGAGTAGGAAGCCTTGGGCAGAGGCCAGGGGGAAGGAATAGCAAATGTGAAGTTGGAAACATGAGGGCAAACAGCCGGTGGGGAGAGGCTGAGCAGTGTCTCATACTGTTCAGTATAGTTGTCATCATTCTTTTCCTGTCACTGTCATCATCATTCTATTGAGCATTTCCTTAGGTCCCCGTATCCTCTCTAGTAAGACACCACAACCACCACCACTGCCACCAGCCCTGCAAAGTTATTTAGTCTCATTATTTTACAGGTATGAAAACTGAAGTTTAGGACCGTGAAGAGCTCTGCTCAAGGTCACAGCTGGTTAGGGGTGGGTCTGACCAAGGACATTCTCCTTCACCACACCAGAGGCAGCTGCCCAGGCTGACTTCATCCTTTTGAGTCCCTCCCAACAAATCACCATATGCAGAAACTTTCCTAAAAGAACAGATATCCCTCTGGGAAAATGGAGGGTGGGGCTTGCTCCAGCAGCTCTGAGAGCTGGAAGGGTTCTTGAAAGGAGAGATCCAAGACCAACTTGCATTTATCTATGGTTACAGAGTTGCTTGGAGACCTTGACCTTTCTCATGCCTATAGATGGGGAATCCTACATTCCAAACACACCTCTCCAAGGGTCACATTGCCTGTTGGGGGACAGCTAGGACTACAGTCAGAACTCTGGGCTCCCAGGCCATGGTTCTGTCCCCTGCCAAGCTAACTGAAGCAAAGATCACCTTTAAAGTACATTTTGAAGGCACTAGAAGAGGTTCTTTACACATGAGAACACACCTTTGGAGGCTACTAGCAAAGCCCAGAATCCTCAAAGAGGACACGGTCCTGAGCCCTATGAGGATGGCAGATAGAGGAAGGAACAGACCCCACTATATGGATAAATGAGAAGCATCATCACCAGGTGAGACTTTCTTAGCCAAATTGCTTTAATCAAACCCCAAATATACTAACTAGCTGACCTTTAGGAAGATAGCTGATTGCTCTTGGCCTCAATTTCTCCTCAACAAAATGGGGCTAACTAATACCTTGAAAGGTTGTCTTGGGAACTCTATATCAGATCCTGGCTCCCAAAAAGAGCTGTAGGTGGCACCTGGGATTATAACTGAATCTTGAGTGGTACAGAGCTAGATTCTGTCAGCTCTGCAGGTAGAACTGGTCCCAGGAGTTGATAATGCATCATGAAAGGTCCAGTGTGAAGGAGGCCCTTACATTATACCTCCAGAGGTAAAAGGAGATGGGGTGATTCCCTGCAAGATATTCAGCAGTGGTATAATTACCAGTACCCACTGGATCTGTGCCATCTACAGGCCTGGGGAGAATGTCTAAGTTAGAAAGCCTCTCAACATACAGATGAGGAAACTGACCCTCCCTGCCCCCCCCCCCCAATGGTAAGGCACCTGCCAAAGGTGACCAGGAATCAGAGCAGGACCTCTTCCCTGCAGGGAGGATGAAATGGTCAAAACTACTTTACCAAAGACCAGAGTGAGATCCGTGGAGAGGATGAAACTTGCTGGGGTCCCCAAGAGGGTCTGTGACAGGTCTTGGTGAAGTAGGATCAAAGTCTGATCTCTACTCAACAAAGTTGAATAACTCCTTGCTGGAGTCAGTCAGCAGTGTCTCCTGGCTGGTAAAACTATCACCTGCATCTACAACAGCTGCCAAAACACCAGTTAGGGAAGGGAGAAGGAGTCATGGAAGAGCTTGATGACTACTGACTGCCACCCAGTTTGAGTTGGAGACTGAGCTCAGGAAGGATGTGGCCACTCCAAGATCCCACAGACAGCCTGACTGAGCCAAGCCTACAAGCCAAGCCTGTGCTCTCTTCGAATAGGGACAAAGATAGAGAGGCAGAGCAGAGACACCAGCTCCAAAGGGCCTGTTGCTCAGCTGGCAAAGTCAGGACAGGAAGGAGGCAGCATCTACAACCACCTGGCAAACAGCTGGCTCTCCTTGGCAGGAAGCCTCTGAGAACAAGAAGAAACAGCCTGGATTTGAACATCCTGAGCTGGGTCCCATCACTTCCATAGCTGCCCCCCCACCACAACTCCATCCTCTACCCTCCTCTCATGTTCCAAGTCACTGCATTCACCTCCTGACCAAGTCTTGCCTACAGCCTCAGGAGTCTCTTAAGCCCACAGGATCTTTCACTGCTCTGTACCCTGCACTTGCTGTCCTCTCTGTTTGGAATGCTGTCCCCTTCCCTGTCCCTTCAACCCTTGCTCCTTTAACTTCTCAGCAGAGGCTTCCTCACCCTCAATCCAGCCTCCCACTGCCTGAAGCTGATCAGCTACCATCTGTTCTAGGAACTCTGGCCTGTCCCTTCTCCCTTCTGTCACAGTGCAGGTCACACCAACTCTTTGTTCTGTACCAGCCTCTTGTACCAGATGGAAGCTTCTGGCAAACAAAACTGGACACTGGCTTAAGGCAACATTCCAAAATACAGCAAAGGGTAGAGCTCAAATGATCCACAACTTTACTCCCTCCTTCCTTTCCTCTCTTCTTTCCTTCCTCCTCTTTCTCCTTCCCTTACTCCCTCCCTCCCTTCCTCTCTTTCTCCCTCCTCCCTGCCTCTCTCCTTTTCCTTCCTTCTTTCTGAATACCTACTACGTGGGAAGGCAGACGACAGTGAAAACATAACAGTCTGAGTAAGTTTGGGTGGTGGCAAGTTCTATAAATAAAGTGAAAGTGTTGATTGAAGTGGGAGCTGCAGACAAGGAGTCCCCCTCCCCACCTCAGACAGGTATCGTGGGCTGGGGGAGTCTTGAATCTTTCTTTCTGGCAGTGTCAAGCCCTGGGAGAGGGAGGAGGAGGTGGGAAGAGAGCTTAGGGCCCCTGAAAGTGCCAGACATCTCTCCCACCCACAGATATACTTCCTGACTCTCCAGGAATTTGATTCAGCAACAGCTCTGAACAGTTAGTTGTGGAACTATCACAATAGCTACCATTTATTGAGGGGCCCTAGGAGCTGCAGGGGCAGGAAGAGATGGCCTTCCCATGACATGGAGCCTCCAAGCTCCTGGCCTGGTAAGGCACAATTAGCCTAAGTAAGGCCTAGCCTCACACAGCAAACTCTGGCCAGCTAGTATTGGAATCCGGGTCTGATGACTCCTGGATGCCAATGCTCCTCCCATTTTTATGGCCGGCAGCACCCTCAAATATGGGAGCAAGAGGCCAGTGGTGAAAAAAAGCCAGCTGCTAATATAGGTGCGAATCCCAGTACAGATTTGTTGTAGAAGACACTCTGTTCCCCAAGGCTTCAGTTTCTTTCATGGTGGGGAGAGGGGTGGGAGGAAGCCCAGACCAACTGAGACACTGCTGTGAGCACTAGATGAAATCCTAAGGGCAAGTGTGGTGGGGAAATGATACAATATTTGACACAACAATCAAGTTCCTCCCCTCTTAACTCTGACCTTCTACTTTGGGGCCTTTCTCCCAACCTTCTCTAGTGTCTATACCCTGCACCAAGCCAAGTCATTCATAGCAGGTTTACCCTGAGGGTGGGAAGAAGGAAAGGCACCTGGGCATGCTGCTACTCTTGCAGCCTTGTAGAAAGCCAGTTTCAAGGCTAAAGCTAGGCTGAGGGCAGGACTGCCAGTCTGGGGGAAGATGAGGGTGGTGTCAAAGTTGCCCTGGGTTCACGCTGATGCAGGGTGACTCAGCAACAACCATTCCCCGGGCCAGCTGCTGCTGCCATGCTCCAAGGGCAGAGAAAGTTGGCATCTGCTGAGGCCCTACTACGTGCTGGGTGCTTTCTTAAGCATATCTCATTTAATTGACTGTGGGAAGCACAGGGAGTTTTAAGTAATTAGATGGGTTTGCATGAGTATGCCCATTTATAGGGCTGCCATAACAAACATGCACACTGAGTAGCTTACACAACGGACATTTGTTACCGCATAATTCTGGAAGCTGAAAGTCTAAGGTCAAGGTTGGTTTCTTGAGGCTTCCCTCCCAGGCTTACCATGACTGCCTTTATATACACAAGCCCAGGTCCACACAGGAGGAGGCTGTAGCAGGACATGAACTTGAATGTGTCTGCCCTGCTTCTCCCCTTAGAATGAAGTCACTAACTAGTGCACAGAAGTCCAGTGGTACAATGATGTGGCTAAATAGATGTTGGCACTCTGGGCTGTAGCAGAGGACTGTCAATAACGAGCCATTTAATTGTTGGAATGCCCAGAAAGAATGGGAACCCCAGGGAATGGGAGCAAAGAGGCTGCTTCCAAGCTCCTACAGAATACAGAAGCATCCAGAGTTTGACTAGTAAGGCAGTTTGGATACCCATTGTGTGCATGCCAGCCCTCTTCTCTCCTATCGACCCATCTTTGGGAGTTAGGAGCCTTGGTGAAAGCCAGAATTAGCAGGTAGAGATATAGGAACAACCTCTAACCTCCAAGGAGCTTGACAGGGAGTTTCCCTCCTTTGAAAAGAGAGCCTCCATCTATGGCATTCTCACCCAGAATGAGAGTACAGGGCTGGAAAGGCCTGAGAACGCATTAAGTTCCTCAACTGGATAGTCAGGGAGATTCATGGCCAGGGGCCAAGAATTTACCCTGTCTGTGCCATAAGCTGGGCCCGAGTCAGGGCAGGACCCCCAAGCCCTGGCCTTCCTGATCACATCTGCCCAAGCCAACTAACCTCAACAGAATGACTCAATGATTGTGTCACCCTACAAGCAGGTAGTAAGTGTTATCTGTGAGTTCAGAAGCCTCTCGGTTTGCTGACGTCCCCTGGAGATAAGGAATGCAAGCCCCCAACCTAACCTGGGCTAGCCTGGCTGAGGCTGGCAGCATTCCCGGGTTCACCTGCTTCAGAGTCAGGCGAGTTCATTGTGTTGTCAGCTGCCAGGCCAGAATGGCCTCTGTGACCAGACCACAAAATGTAATTCAATTGTGAGAAAAGCAGCTAAAAACACAGACTCTGAAGCCAGAGGGCCTGAATTCCACATTTTAATTCCCCATTTACTAGCTTTATGAACCAAGAAAGCTATTTGATGTCATTAGGACTCAGTTTCCCTCTCTATACAATGGAACTGAGTACAGTCCCTTCACTTGGAATTATAAGGATAGAGTAAGACTAGAACTATTTCATTCAGCTAAGCTATAGCCATGTTTTAAAATTCCTGGGGCAATTGTCACAAAAAGCCCAGCTCTGACTTTTTCATTGTATAGTCTGAGCCTCTATCTCTGAAATGGGGTCACTCCCAGGGTTACTATGGACATCAAATGTGGTCACAACACAAGCTCTGGGAGATATTTTAAGGATGTTCCACCCCCATGTCCACCACCAGCAATGTGAGCAGACAGGTGCCTTCTTCATTTTGAGTGACAAACACTGTCTTGGAGCTCCCATACCTGGCACTGGAGGGAGGATTCTGGTTCATCAGTGGGACAGCAGTTCCCTGTCCCTATCCAGACATCATGGGCTAAAGTATCCTTCTTTTACAAAATCATTCCTGAGATGTTTGTTCTGCAGGCACAGTACCCGCTACTGCTAAACTTCCATCACTTACCTAGCAGAGCTCCTGGTTCACCTTGAGTTCATACCCAAGAGTAGGGCCTTGGGTATATATCCTTAAGCCATTGTGTCCCTGCTTGAACTCAGGGTTTGAATTCTGACCCTGAGCTTTTGTGCTTAAGGCTAGTGCTCACCACTTGAGCCACAGTTCCACTTCCAGCCTTCTTGGTGGTTAGAGACAGAGTCTCATGACTTTCCTGCCTTGACTGTTTTTGAACTGTGATCCTCAGATTTCACCCTCTTGAGTAGCTAAGATTATAGGCACGAGCCATTGATGCTCCACCTCTTGCCCTGTCCTTTTATACTTTCCTCTTTCTCTCTCTTTCTCCTCTATTGGCTTCCTCCTTCACCGATTCCTGCTCCCTCTAACTTAGACCACTCCACTTTGCCCCCTCAGGTCCTAGTTTTAAGGACAGACCATAACCCACTCACTGCACCCCACTCCCTGACCCCCAGCTCCTAGGTCTTTAACTGGAGGTAAATGGAAAGGGCTTTCTGAGCAGTGAAAAGAGCAGAGCAAGGTTGAAAGGGTGGGGGCTCTGCAGAGTTTGGGGAATCTGTCACCCAGTATGGGAGACTATTGGCTGTGTGTAGGACTGGGCAGATGTCCAGAGGGATATGAGGATGGGTGGGTGCATGGAACCTCACCTGGTAGGAATATGGAAGGGTCGAAGCTGGTGGTGATGCTGAACAAAGCCCAAAGTGGGAACAGGGCCCACTTAGTGGGTCCAACATGGCCTCAAACAGGTTTGGTCCAGGTGGTCACTCAGCAGAGGCAAAGGACACACAGGTGTGACTGTGGAGGTTTCTCAGCACCCATGCCCAACACTCCAAGATATGGAGCTCCATTTTGTCACTCACAAATTATGTAACCTCAGTCAAATCCCATCTCCTAATCTAAGCCTCACTTTCCCAACAATAAAGTCAAACAAATAAATTAGGCACCAGTAGCTCACACCTATAATCCTAGCTACTCAGCTGCGTGAGGTTGGAGGATAACAATTCAAAACAAGCCTACACAGGAGAGTCTCTTATATCCAATTAACTGCCAAAAGGCTGGAAATGGAACTGTGGCTCAGATGGTAGAGAGCTAGTCTTGAGCACAAATGCTCAGGGACCGTATCCCTGCCCTGAATTCAAGCTCCAGGACCAGCATCAAAGAAAGAAAAAAAATCAGACAAATAATTGCACCTGCTGTGTTGTGACTTAGAGAGGTGACATTGGGGACATTTTGTACAGTCCCTGGCTCCCAGCAGGAGTTTAGTAAACATTTTTAATATTAGGAATTGTTATTGATACTAATGAACACTGAGCAACTACCATGTGTCTGGAAGTATGTAAATCACTTTCCACACATTTTCCCACTGACTCTTTTCTACCACTTGCAAAGTAATCATTTACTCATTTTACAGAAAATTGAAAAGGAGTCTTAGAAGGCTCACCAGAAGTAGCAGAGTCTAGACCACCATTTACCCATAGTCAATGTTGTTTAAGAGTTGAGCATATTCCCACTTCCTTTCCCCTGCCATGATTTTGTTTGGTAGTACTAGGATTTGAACTCAGGACCTTCCACTTTCTAAGCAGATGCTCTACCACTGAGCCACACCCCCAGGCCTCTCTTATTGTTTACCCTCCCTGCTCTATCAACTTCACAGGACAGGGAAAGGAGTAGATGAGAAACTAAGGAGGCAAAAGGGCATAGCAGAAAGAGCAAGAGCCTCAGAATCATCAGCTCGAGTTATAGCTCTTCCATTTGTGAGCTGTGTAACTTCGGAGATTGAGCAAAGAGCCTGATTAGGAGCCCAAAGAGAGTTGATTCTAATGGAGCCTCTTCTGCAGCATGTCATGTGACCCTACACAAGTCTCTTATCCTCTCTGTTTCTCCACCTGTAAAAGTCAGGCTCCTGAGGCAGTTTGGCCTATATACTCTAACGATCTATTGATGGATAACTCCTTCTAAGGGGTTCTGGTCTCTCCCCAGACCCTCATCCTGAGCACAGAATGCAAACCAGACCTGGGCACAGGCTCTGTCATTAGGCTTCCAGGAAAATAGGTAACTAAACACAGGTTAGGTTAAATACCCTAACTAAGATCTCCCAACTAGAACCTCAGAACCATTGTTTGGTTACAAAGAGACAAAGGCCAGACATCATCTGACCACAGCACAGAGGTAGGAAGATGAGGACATTCAAAGTCACACTGAATCAGGCCTGATTGTTCCAGGCTTCTAGAATGGGTAGAGCTTCATAAAACACAAGAACTGAAAGCCAGAGAGACCACAGCTGGGAAGCATTGAAACTGAAATACTCTCTGGTCCCCTATGTCTGATTTCCATGAATCCAGTCATTATACTGCCATGATCCCAACATCCTTTCTGATGTATGCAGTCTATGTACCAAACATCAAGCCACTGTCCCCTCCTGATACCCAGGTCTCTGTCTATGGTTTTAATATCCTTTATAATAAGTCTGTTCTTAAGCAAATGTTCATTGAATGCATGCTGTGTTCTTGCTAGGTCCTGAGGTCCGAGCAATCATAACAGAGTCCCTAGATCCACAGAGCTCACTGTAATGAATCAGAGATGATAAGCATGAGCTATTAGAACCTCCACAGGGGGAGGGGTGATCACAGCACAACCTCTAAAGTGTTGTCAGCCCAGCTACAACTGGAGGAAGAGTGGACTTAAGGTATTGTTCTAATCAGAGGATAGTGGGTGCAAAGGCTGGAAGGGAGTGAGCACTTTGACCCAGCACCTATAGGTGGTTTGGTGTGGGACAGAGATACAAGGGAGGGGCATGGCAGGAGAGGTCAGCTGAGGCCGCATAACATAAGTGATATATCTGATAAAGAATTACAGCTTCAAGCTGGGCATGGTGATACATGCCTCTAATCCTAGCACATCAGAGTCTGAGGTAGGAAGATCATGAGTTTGAGGTCAGCCTAGTACAAAGCAAGACTTTCTATCAACACACACACAAAGAATGACAACTTCATCCTAAAAGTAACAGAAAGTTGTAGATAGATGTTAAAGAAAATGGGGTTTGGAGATCCAACTACATTTTAGAAGAAACTCTCTTAGTGTTCCAGAGCTTGGACTGGTGCTAAGGAGAGGCAGGCAGGGTACCCTTGAGGAGGTGGTCCTGGGCACCTAGACTAGGACAGGTGATCTGGACAGAGAGAAGGAGACACATCTGAAGGTGGTGGGAGTCTGAGCAGCTCAGAAAGTGACTGCAGAGAAAGAGAGGAGGAGGCTGTGCAGAGCTGCGTAAAGACTGGGGACTAAGGGAGAAGAAAGGCAGCATTTCATGGAGCAGAGAGAAAAGGGAAGAGGGAAGCCCAGGAGAGGCTGCATGTGGCAAATATTACACAGTGAGAGGCGGTGAGCCACAGTCAGCTGCATGGCAGCAGCAGAGGCTGCTTTGTGCTTTTCTGGAAAGGTTGAATGGTTTTCTGAAAATTGCCATTCCTAGTTTAACTGATACAGGCATGGAACTAAAAAAAAATGCTCCAGTAAATAATTCAAAGAAAAAGTAGAAAGGATTGAGGAGAATGAGGAGCTAGGTGAGGAGGCTGGCCAAGGAGGTTGGATAAAGATTTCTTTTGTTCTGTCTTGTTTTGTTGAAACAAGAGAGAGACTGAAACAGAGGTTTTTCACATCTCCTATTGTAACCATTAGTGGGATGTGAAATTTTACAGGGTTGTAATTTTTTTAACCATTGTTACTTCTTATGGAATAGAACAATACAGGGGAAAAAAAGAGAATAGAGTGTCTTACATGTTGTGAGAATAGCTATTGTCTGTCAAACTTTTGTTTCAGGTGTGTGTGTGTGTGTGTGTGTGTGTGTGTGTACTGTGCTTTTACTTGTGTGACAATACACATTTACTATAAGTGATCTATCCTCCAAAGCCCTCTTGCTAGACATGTTTGCTTATGGCTGGTATAGACTCTAATGCCCTCAGAGAGTAACCCTGTGACATGGGAGGAGGGAGAGCTATTCTACCCTTTTGTTTGTCCTGGGACAGAAAGCAATAAATTGAGTACACAGTCCTTTGCACGCAATAATGTGATAACGCACTTGATTCAATAACAAAGTTCCCTGGGGTTCATCTGGGATGCCTGACAAGCCAAAAGGTTGTGGGCCATGGTGTAGACATTTCCCCCACACACAAGGGCCAGGGAGAGCATGGGATGGAAAGACTTGATTGGCTGGAAATCACCCTCTAGATATGCTGTTGGTAAGCTGCTGATGACAGGGTAAATGGTAGCAAAGCCATGAACCCTATGGCAAAGGCTCTGTGACACAATCAGGAAATCACCTGGAGACAGGACAAAAGGGAAGCAGGAGATGGGCTGGGTTATTGGTGAGAACCGCTAGGCTAAAAGGAGAGAAATGGACAAAGAACAGACAGAGGAGGGAACAAGTAGGTATATGATGGGGGACAGGTAACAAAAAGTAAGTTTCCAGGACTCTGTGGGGGAGACTGACAGGCCAACTGGAGGACACAAGAGGACACCCCCTGCAGAGCCTCCCCTTCCTCCCCACATTGCTCAGACCCACTCCCCACTATCCCCAGTGTTTCCTGCACCCCAGTCACACTGAGGCACCTATAGCTCCGCCCTCTCCTCTTTGGTCTTAGATCACGCAACAGCTTCATTTGAAATGCCTTGATTTCTCCAATAAACTCATCGTTCCTACTCCGTGCCTAACAGGCTTGCTTCTAGATGGCACCTCACCTGCCTGACTACTTTGGCCACAGCCTGGCTCTCTCTACTCTACATGCTCTGCACAGATTGCTGGCAGACATCCAAACTTCAGGCCCTCAGATGCATCTGCGTCAGTGCTCCCACCCCTACTGTGAGTTCCTATATCCCAGCACAAGATCAGGCATGTATCAGAGGTTCAGCAGGGAAATACTGGATGGATGGATGGATGGATGGATGGATGGATGGATGGATGGATGGATGGAGTGAAGTCAGTAGAACCAATGAACAGGACAAAATGGGTAGGGGAAGTTGGCAGCATCTATGTAGAGAGGTATAAAGAGCCCTTGACTATTGGTTTAAAAAAGAAGAGTCTAATAGCTTTCTTGCTCACTAGCTTTGTGATCTTGGACAAGTCATTCCCTTTCTCTAGCCCTTAGTCTCCTGTTTACAAAATGGGGAAGTGATGGGTAGAAATATGGTGGAAAGATGTGGCCTCACCCAATCTGCAAGGACCTCAGGCTCTCATGCAGACTCTATGGTGGCAGAAGCATCATATCCTGTGTGAACTTGCAGGGGTACTTGGCTTCTTAGCACAGGGATGGGAGCAGAGATTATAGGCTCAGAGGAAACCTGGAAATCAATGTGGGGAAGGTTGGCATCTCAGGTGGGACTCAGCCTCCTGGAAAGAGACCAGCTCTGGAAGCTGGCCCCACAAGCACCACTACTTAACTGGCTAAGAAAAGACTGACCACCTTAGCATATCTCCCTCAGCAGCTCATTCTCTTCATGAGCCTCTTCATGAGCCTGCCTGAGGAGCAGCTGAGGAGTCTCTCCCCCCAACCCCTGCCCCAAAGCCAAAAGCCACTCCCATTCTTTTCTTGGTGCCTCCCAATCCTCCCACATCCCACACTGTTCTTCTGGGATCTATAATCAAGCTCTTGCCTCAGTTTCCCTGTGTTCAGTTCAATGGTATGAAATATCCATGAAGTTGTGTAGCCATCACTACCATCCGCCTCTACTTTTCATCTTAAAAAACTGAAAATGAGTTTATAGGTACATCACTTAGATCTGGCTGATTTGTTCATGTCCTCTGTTTTCTTATTCATCCTCTGTTTGGCCGATCTATTATCTAGAATAAGTTGCTGAAATTTCCTAGAATTCTCTGTTTCTCTCTTCAATTCAGTTTTGCTTTGTATTGTGTGTGTTGGGGGTGGGGGTGGTGCCAGTACCAGTGCCAGTGTGTGTGTGTGTGTGTGTGTGTGTGTGTGCACATGCCTGTCCTGGAGCTTGAACTCAGAGCCTGGATACTATCCCTGAGCTTTTTTTTTTTGCTCAAGTCTAGCACTGTACCACTTGAGCAGCTGCTCTGCTTCTGACTTTTTAATGGTTAATTGGAGATAAGAGTCTCACAAACTTTCCTGATCAGATTGGCTTCAAACTGTGATCCTCATATCTCAGTCTCGTGAGTACCATGAACTACTAGTGCCTACCTGCTTTATAAATGTTGATGGTCTCATTAAGGACATATATGTTTACAATTATGGGCTGGAGGCGTGGCTCAGCAGTATTGTGCCTACCCAACAAATGTGAGGCCCTGAGTTCAAACCCCAGTACTACTAACAAAAATGTTTGTAATTATTAGATCTTCTTGTTATAGTGAATCTTTCATTACTATGCAATGCCCTTTTATGTCTCTTGTAATCTTTTTATTTTATTTTTTAATTTAAAGTCTATTTGTCTGATATTGGTATGGTCAACTTCTCTTTTGGTTACCTTATACATAAAATATCATTTCCCATCTTGTTTTTTTTTTTTCTCTTGTGCTGGCACTGGGGCTTGTACCGAGGATCTTAAATTCTTGCTTGGACAAGTCATTATGTCGAAAACAAACTTTACAACTTTGGGGGGGGGGAGGATTGGGTGAGGGGGTGAGCGAATGGGAAGGGATGGGAAGGGGAAACAAAGGAGGAGGCTACAACGCTTGATAAGAAATGTACTCATTATCTTGCCCATGTAATTGTAACCCCTCTGTACAGCATTTCCACAATAAAAAAAAAAACAAAAGAAAAAAATTCTTGCTTGGTTTTTTCTAATCAAGGCTGGCACTCTATCACTTGAGCCACACCTCTAGTTGATTGGAGATTCAGAGTCCCTCAGATTTGTCTGCCTGGGCTGGCTTCTAATCACAATCCTCTGATCTCAACCTTCTGGGTAGCAAGGATTACAGAGCCGACAGTGCCTGGCTTGTGTTTGAGGTTTCATCTTTTCCCAGGCGAGTGACATGCAGCATGGTGTAGTCTCACAGTGCTGGGCAGTAAC